TGTATATGGATATGTATATTTATATGTATATGTATGTATTGTAATTTCGTCTTAGCTACTATACCTGGGCCAATACATATCACGGAATTGAGATCTAGATATTCGTAAATACAAAATCATGACTGTTGCTAAATTCGTGCCATTATTTGATACTGAATTGAAAGTGCATATAAACTAGATACAAACATCGCAATTGCTTCATCTGCACCAATAGTGTGCGACGCTTCGATGTGAGGGAAAATCTCGTTCGACATACGAATAAATATTTCTCACGAGTTATTATGATATTTTTATGGTATGCAAAGTGTGTTTTATGTGTGGGTCGATTCTGCCGTCTCGTCCACATGAGACTAAGGCTCGGCGCTGTATGAACCACTTCCAGACTGTGTACATTATTTCACAGTGGAATCGAACCTGGTCGCGTGGCGGACCATGATATCGCACGCCCAAAATGGGTTCAAAAGTCTAGGCTCGCCTAGACACTAGGTTGTGCGTGCCTATACTTCCGGTACCATAACACCTGCTTACAATTGACTTCAATCGATTTTCTTCCCGCACAGGTTGTGGCTGGGTTTTGGAATCGGAACAGTGATAAAGGGAGAGTATGTACATTTGAGTTTCATTTATTTTATTCTTTCATATTGCCGCTGAAATTTCAATTTTTATCTGGTGTTTTTGAATTGCTGCATGTAGTCATAGTTAAACTCGTCTGTGGAGCCAATTGCGACACCTCCAATGCCCAGATTTTTAAATCGCCTACATAATTCGAAGCTTTGTAACTCATGCATTCAGATTCATTCTGATGCAACAGGTTCGGTTCAACACTTCATTGGAGATACATAACATGCATAGCAGGAAACAATACAATCGGAAAGGTGATAGAAAGAAGTTTCTCACAGTTCCGGAACGATTCGCACTGCGCGACGAGGTACGTCGATCTACTTCTGAATGCAGCAAACTTGATGTCGGTGATTTGAAAAACTTAACCACATCTTAACCGATATAATGTATACTCTCTAAGCACTATGCGGTGTGCTTTATAGTGTAGTGAAGCTTATGTCTACTCGGTAGTGGTACACGGCACAGAATGAGTTTGCCTCACACGATTTTTTCAGGCCTTCCCCCTAGCTATTTTTAGTACCACAACGCCAGGGTTAAATGCGACACACATCGATTTGTCATTCCTGGTAAGTTCTTCGTCCCTTCATTCACCCTCAGCTTATTCGATTCAAGTTGTTTGAGATGAAAGTGCACGCGAGGTCTCGCACAAATACGCATATATTCAGGTGAGATTTGTGTTCACTGAAATAATATCTGTTACGCGTACATCGTGTCTGAACATACAGCTCAGTATTCCGTTGTAAGCATGCATTTAGTTTACGATCTCTGCGCCGATAGCGCGATTGATTGTGTATACCCTAGTGCGCCAGGTCGTGATCCAGTATCCTTGGGGTCATAGTCGAATTGTTCCGGTCGATTTAAATGATTCCTTATCCTGGATTATTTGTTCCATGTTACTTTTCGAGTGACCTCAGTTTTGTTATCAAATACCTGTGATTCACGCAACAGGAGGAAAGATCTCGGTTTACAGGAAGAGCAATGAATAGTAGCCGCCTAGAACATATAATATACACTCGGTAGAGAATTGACCCACAATATATATTGGGAAAGCCACAACTTCCATGTGAATGCTACCCATACATTGGGACTGCTAAGAAAACAAACCAACAAACTGGCAAACTGGAAAAGAAACTCCGTGTGGTCAGAGATCAAGGGACGTAAACATGGTCACTGTGTAACTGTCCCGCTTAGAAGAAGCACAAATGTGACATAAAATATTATTCATACAAGGAAACTGCGAAGACTACAGTTTGGTGTGCAGTAGCAATACTCCACCACGATGACATTTAAGCACTCAAAACAGCGGTTTAGCAAGCACTACGGCCGACGTGATTGAATTTGCCTTGTGGTAGTCTTTGGGAGTGATACGCAACACAATTCATCTCGAGTTGTATCAAAGTCTTATTAGGGGCATCAGAGAGTATGTATGTGGTGAATTTGAAAATTGCGCTTTTGCTATGCGCACTGGCCTCGAGCCATTCGGTTGTCACCTGCTCTTCGGGGGATATTGTCATCCATCAAACCATCCAAATTGAAGCCAAATTAAAATTTGCTCGGTTTTGTATAAAAATAAAAGACAATTCCCATTTCGTAATATGCGTGATATAATTCGAATGAACATTGTAGTTATTCAGGCTAGGAGCAATCATGGACCACACTATCACTAACTCAGTAAATAGAGCAAAAGACGAGATGATATTTGCATAGTTGTGCTGACTATCGCACCTGTCCCTCCAGTTAGACGAGGGCCCTGGTAGATCTGTGCGATTGCAGGCATAGTCGGAAACTGACTTGCTAGGCAAGTCGCTTTTTTCGGTATTGAACTACGATAGCCTGATATGTACTGTGTTTTATTCGTACAACTTATTACTGATGATCATCCCACCACACGGCCACTTAATGGGCCGTGGCAGATCTGTGCGATTGCAGTCACACTCGGAAACTGACTCGTTTCGCAAGCCGCCACATTCGGTATTGTAGTACGGTAGTTTGACCTATACTTTAAATTATTCGTGTAACTTTTTGTCTAACGAAGATTGTCCATTCACAATTCTCACACTAGCATATCTGTGCGATTGCAGGCACACTCGGAAACTGACTCGTTTCGCAAGCCGCCACATTCGGTATTGTAGTACGGTAGTTTGACCTATACTTTAAATTATTCATGGAACTTTTTGCTAACGAAGATTGTCCATTCACAATTCTCACACTAGCATATCTGTGCGATTGCAGACTCATTCGGAAACCGATTCGTTTCGCAAGCAGCCCACATCGACACTGTAGTACGGTAGCTTAACCTACCTCTACTGTATATTCTATTTACTTACTGTTGATATTCTTCCGGCGGCTATAATTGCATGGTATTGTGCATAAATTTCGTCATGATCAAATGATAACACGCACAGCTATTTCAGAAAAATCCAACCCTTAATCTTCCGTGAAGTACAAAGGGCTCTCAGCCTAATTTCAGTCTCACCCAGCGCCGTATGTTTGAAACTACATCCGACATTTCACTGATCAAAAGGCTTATATGACTTCATGACCACGCCATTTCATTGGGCGCGATTCGGTCAATCGAGCCGGGTTGGACCTAGATGATTACCAATTCAGCGCAATCTTGAGTGTGTCTGGGCTACAGCTCATAGCGCACGAGGCCTTGCACAGCCGCACGGTACTGGGTACACTCGTATGCCCGTGTAAGTTCTTGAGGCAGACTTCGCGCTTGTCCCGTCTGAAGGTTTTTTGCTTGCACCCGGTACAGCTCTTGGCCAGGTTGAGGTACGACACCAGGTCACGGGTGATGTGCCTGCGGTCGATTGGTATGTTCTTTGTGAGTATCAGCTCGCCACACATCTCCTGCAGCGTGGGCACGCAACTCTCCCCCCTCCTGGACCAGACATTCGTGTTCGCTGTCGGCTCCACTTCGGTGCTAGGCTCATACTCACTGTCGTAGCCGTCCTCGTACACAGAACCCCTGGGGTGCACACGTTCTTGGTGGGTTGTCACGGTTGCAATGGACGTAGTGGATGTGCCCCCGCGGCTCAAACCGTTGATGTGCTGCTGCATAGTATTCGGTCTGTATTGTGCTGTGCTTTGTGTTTGGGTACGTGTTCCTGTGAACGGATTCCCGGATATGAAGAGAGATGTTGACGTCGCCAACCAGCCTAACTCGCCGGGCAAGCGTGTCAGTTGATTATCCTGCACATTCAACATAGCCATTTTGTTCAGTGAACCCAAAGCCGCTGGGAGTGAGCGCAGAGCATTGTGGGCGAGATCCAATGAGGACAGTTGCTCCAACTGGCCAATGGAAGGGGGTATCCTTCTTAACTTATTATGAGCGGCCTTGAGTATACTTAATTTAGGTAGATCTCCAATGTTTCTAGGGAGATATTCGATATCATTACGAGAGACGTCCAACTCTACCAGCTCAGGCAGTGAACACATCGCGTCTGGCAGTACTCTGAGATTGTTCCCACCAAAGATGGACCCCAGAGACAGTGTTTGCAGTTGAGTGCACTTGGCGATTGCATCCGGAATTGATTTTAATCTGAAAGACGGAAAATATTTGATAAATCTACTATTAGCTAAGAGTTGCATGTATATGAACTTCAAACGAACCGACGCGAGTTACAACAGTTGAAAAATAATATGTAAGCACAGGTGGGTTGTTATAAATACACCCCGGTCAATGCACTTGAAGAACGCACGAGTAGGTGCCAAGCACACAATAAACGCCAGACATAGCGCACAACAGATATAATGAAATACAGACTTGGTGCTATTTGCAAGCGTTTCTTCAAGAATTTACTTATAGTGGTTCAAAAACGCAAGTCAGACAACGCATTGTGAAGGCAAAAAAAGTACTCATATACAGCACGCGAGACTTCACTCATTCTGATACCTATGTTCGTTTAAAAGTGAATGTATCGTGTGTGTGTATTCACTGTTAGTAGCGATAGAACACTACAAAAATGACCGGCCTCGTTCGCTCATCCCGAATATTCTTTGATTAAGAACGAAACAGCTACACGCTTTACCGCTCAAATTAATTTGTAAACTGACACCAACAGAACTCACAGTTGCATAAAATGTTATGCTAACATATTCGCATTCGCACATCGAGGTTACAAATAAAGAATACAATGCTATAGTATATAGGATGTACATCTGCGCTTCCATGATTTTGCGTGTTCTAAGCATTCTAATACTAACCAAAATATATTTACGCTGGACGCACCGCACCGGTCGCACACAACGAGTAAATATACAAACGGTAAATATATCTACACTACGACGCGTAGGTAAATCCATTACAAGTACATAATGGCATATAAACTATAAATATATTCTCAAACAGGCGTTTTAAGATTCAAGTAAAAACCAGGATTACACGATTCTGACCCGATTATATTCCCGATGTATCCATTGAGAAAACATACCTATTCTGACACAGCCTCAACACTTTCAGGTTTACAAGTTGTCCAATCTCGTCGGGCAAGCTTTCCAAGAGATTGTCACTCAGAAACAAATGTTCGAGGCTGCTGAGCTCGCACACGCGTATATCGAGGCTTTCGAGTTTGTTTGAAGCTAAATGCAGCACTTTGAGACTCGTAAAACGTGACAATCCAGTGAACGACTGCAAGTGATTGCGCCGCAGATTCAATTCCACTACTGTGTGTACGTCTCTCACGGAATCGCTAGGAATGACTGCGAGTTTCCTGTTCTTTAACACCACGGAGTCTCGTATATGTGAAAGTGTTCGGTTGGTATTTCGTATATCGCATGTACCCGAATCCGGGCGTGTGCACACCGCATCAAAAGTACTTGTTATCCTCTCTGTCTTCCCGTGTAATATTCTAGTAGAAAGGGGTCCATTCAACTCTGAACTGTTTCTTAACTCTAAACTATTACCGAACTTGTTACTTGACTTTTCCTCACGAGAGTCTTCACACAGACCCATCTCTGAGTGGGCTAGTGCACCGCATTTACCGTCAAACAAATCTGCCAAGGGTGCTTCTCTTTCTTTACTGTGGTCTAGGGATACAGACTTCGCCTGTGTCGCCCGTACATGTTTAGACTTGCCATACCTTTCAGACCCTATAATTGGTACACCTGGCGTGCGGTTCTGAAGGGGGTTGATAGTGAGTGAGCTTAGGCTCGTAGCTTCCACCACTGAAGCAAGCCCACCTGTTGACACTATTCTCGATTGTTCTATACACATTGCTCTATATTATAGATAGTTGATATAGTCAACCTGCAGCAGCTAGCTTGCTTCAGATACGTGTATTAATATGATTTTTTGAAGCTCATGCAATTTGCATTTAAAAAATAGGTACTTTTATAAGAAAATATAAACGAAAGCTTCTCGTGAGTGTATTGGACGCAACAAGAGGTAAAATTCGACGCACACAACCTCACAGGGGAAGATGTGTTTCCCTAACTCGGATAAAGTTTCTAGAGGGGGTCTGAAACTGTGAAAGATTGGGCTGAGACTTGTGAGGCGGTGGTGGGTCTGTGGGAGTGAGTGGGACTGTGGGGCTGTGGGCGGGCCACTGGGCCACTGGGCCTGTCACTTGTAAGTTGTCAGCCTGAAAACAGGGTCATCAATCCACGTCAACATCATTTTTTGACGTTGTGACTTGTGAGAGTTTGGCTATCCTACTTCCGACTTCCGACTCCCGAGTCGTCGCAATCTAAATATGCAACATGTCGCATGTTCTAAAATACTCTGGTTTTTCTGCCCTATTTACCCGTCCCTGGCCTGACTCCCTGATAACCCGACCCTGGGCCTTGGGCTTGGACCCTGGACCCCGGAGTCCCGGACTCCTGGGAGTTTGGCTTGTATGAAATTAGCTCCAAGAGGGCAAGAACGTCGACCTTTACGAAAACGACGAAAACAATATAGATTTGGGCTATAGTATTGGTCAACATTCGCGTGAATATTTTATTTCTACGCTGCCCACTGCCCAGACTCCAGACTCCAGAGTTCCAGACAGGCAGCCAATTTACCACCAGGAACTTCCAATGTCCTACTGACCTGTCCAGCGCCCAGCGGTTTTTTAACCCTCCCCCCTCCCTCTCAGCCTTCACTGCCATGCCGCCCTCAGCTCCCCAGGGGGCGGTGGTCCAACAGACGGGTTCGGGTGTTCGGCAATCGACACAAAATCCTAAAAATCCCGTATCCCCGCTTCACCAAAAAAATATTCCCATTTTGAGAGGAATAGGTCCCGGATCGCCGGAGTAGAGTAAAATTCGAACTATCATTGCACCCAGTTTGCACTCAAATTGACTAAAAAAGGGGGGGGGGAAACATAGCTCTCAATGATAAAAAAAAAACTCAAAAGGGATTTTTGGACGTTACAAGTAAATTTGGCAATGTATCGTACAGAGCCCAATCCATAGCCCTCTAAATTATACATATTTTGTTCCCAAATGTTTTCGTCATGTCCTTCTGTTCGTCTGGCCCCAGGCCCAGGCCCCACGTTTTTTATACAGCTTGTCGTATTGAGATTATAGACTGGGGGGTTTTTTTAGAAGTGAAAAATGAAAATCTGATGGAAGCAGTTGCTGTTGAAGGCACTTGAAACCTGCGCTGAATGCTGACTTTTTTGATTGGCTTTTTTAAGATTTGGGTTTAGTGTTCTTCCGTTCGTAAAAAGTAATATGATTGGTAGAATTTTCAGTGATTCCGATAACAAATTTTCCAATTAAATCATAGTATTAAAAAATTAATGAATTCAATTAATATTTATTGACCCGTTTTGTTCAGGGTGGCTTAAAAAAGTTAAAATGCACTGCCGCCTTGAATATAGCTAAAATGAAACAGATTTTCACGGATATTCTCATTTTTTGATTGACTGTATGTCACAGAGATCACATCATATCTTTGTCCTCAATTGACAATTGGTTCGCTCTACTAAAGTAGTAGGGAGAGAGAGATAGAGATGGTATCCGTATAACCGTATTTGCACGCTTTGAGTCATCTTGAAATTAACTATTAAATTTTAGTATCCTTAATTTACGTTCGCTTATTTTTATAAATAAATACTCAATATTTTTATGTTGTTCGTGGGGGGTTTTTCTTAAACGAACACTGTGAATATGTATGTAGTTGGATGATCGGAGACCGGCAATGATTGTGCTATATATTTACTTATCAGTTTTCACCAGTAGATGATACAGAGACATCTCTTTTCTACCAGTGGGCGCACACATATCCCATACTTTCGCCTAAAGAGTACTTCACTAGTATTTCAGCTAAAGTACTTCACTAGTATTTCAGCTAAAGTACTTCACTAGTG